TTTGAGCAGATTACTTTGTGTTACTTTAAAATAACATTTCCTAAAAGCCTACGTTGAAATGTATTTGCATGCCTAATGAAGCTGCAGGAATGAAAAAGGGAAAGTCAGAAACACTTCCCCGCTTTCTTTCTTTAGTGAATCAAATCACTACAGTAAAATGAAGATGATTTCACCACCGGCAACATAAAGAACTGGCAAGACTGACATTTTCCATTTGTCTAGGAAAGGGCAAGTTTTGCCTTCTCCTCAGCAGGTTACCCAACAGCACAACTTAATTCTGCAAAATATAGACATAAACTGGTCATTCTGGTGTATTTATAGTACCCCAGATGAACTTGACCGAATTTTCCATTTGTACTAGAAAGCAAGTAACCATGAAGAGATGACACTGGGACACGGTGGCTCCTGGAGCTGTTTCTGTAGGCTGAGCTTGCTACTCCTCCTATTGAGGATGTTCATGCTTTGAGTAACAGGTTGCCCAGAGAAGCTGTGGCTGCCCCATCCCTGGAAGTGTTGAAGGGCAGGTTGGATGGGGCTTGGAGCAACCTGGGCTGGTGGGAGGTGTCCCTGCCCATGTGGGGGATTAGAACTAGATGATTTTTAAGGTCCCTCCCAACCCAAACCAGCCTGACTCTGTAGCAATTGATGAAGTGGCACTTCTAGGCCTGGGGCTTGGTTACCACATCATTGTCACTGCACTGGGGAGAGGTAGGGCTGTCAACTCCACCACACCTGCCACTCACACCCTCAAAGGAACTACTCCTTGAGATAACATCATATATTTACATCCTCACCTTCATGACACTTGAGAAAAATATCACCATGGGACTGACTGTGTTGCCCCTGAAGACTTAAATTCCCACAATATGAAAATACATCCTTGGACCTGACAAACCCCAAACCGCTTGCCCTGCTTTAACAGCCTACCTGGCTGCAATAGCATTCCAGCAAGCTCCAGTCACCTACTGTATTTTCAAATACTATGTATGAATTTATGGCCATTGGATCATAGTAGAAAAGTAATTTAAGAGTAAGTACAAATTATTTTACAAGAGTAAATAAAGTTACAAGTCATACACAGGAGTGAAGGAAATTAAAACTACACAGGACTCAGAGACACATACCCATATATCCATAGATACATCTGTCATATCCATAGGTCACCTCTTTAAGAACAACAAATAAATAAAACCAGTAAAACTGTGAAAATTTCGTTCACTTCAGTATTTACTGTCCTGTCAACATCATTCTAGGAGTGAGCAGAAAACGCTTAAGTTTAAGATGGACTTAAAATACTTATGGTTACTTTTTCCACTAATGACCTAAATTACTTACAGCTCATGAAATCATCCATAGGTCAAAACCATCCTTCCATTGATCACCTGCTCTTGCCCCTAATTCCCACTTTCTCCTGTCCTTCAACCTTTCTAGCTTTACTATGCACTGTTCTCAACAAAGTACATTATTTTTACAGTTTTTTTTAAACCTGTAATTTTAAAGCAAGGGAAGAGAGAGTCCTGGGTTCATCTTAATGCCACAAAAAGTGGCTGCAGAGAACTGATCATGAACTGAGAAGTGCTGTATCCTGAAAGCACTTCACACTTTCTGGTAAATGAGAAAACTCCTTAGTGTGTTTGACATTAAGATAAGCAAAAGCCTTATTGTCCTCAGATGATGCTACCATAGGAAAAAAAAGGAACTGTAACAGCATTAAGAAAGAGTATATCCAATAATCAGTCACGGCAAAAGCGCTTGGTGACAGAACTCCAATCATCTAGTGACACAGAACCACACCAGAAGTGACCATATTTACAGGGAAGGGGAGAAAAGAAGGGCCAAAGGGTTTGATGACTTGTTGGAAGAGCTGCTGTAAGGAAAACAGGGTGATAGGAAAAAGCCTTCCTGGCTTCAGATCCTCATGTTCTCACTTACTTATATTCTGCATTTTTAAGTGCCTGGATAGATGAGTAGGCACTTCAAATGTAAATGTGAAAAAGTAAACAAATACCCAATTCCTAATCTAGCAGTATTGCAATTCTGACTTACAGACAGATTGAAATGTACAACCTACTCACTATAATACATTTTTTTTTAACTTGGCCTTCTGCTGAATAACTTTAGAACACAGTTTCTTCTAATTTTGACAAGTATTTCCACATTCCTTCCAATATAACTCTTTTCTATTTTATGAAAGACTAGGGGAAAGTAAGAGAAGAACAGAGATGCTGCCACATTGTTGTCATGAGCATTTCCATGACGTAGGTGCCTCCCCTCAACAGAACATGCACACCTGGTCTCAGTTCAGGAACAAATAATGGAACCAAATTAAAAAAAACCTGGACCTGCACATGTTGCAACAAGGAAACCACACTCCAGCCCCCCCCCACCAGCACTGAGCCTGAGACACAGAAGGTCAAAACCCACTAGAACCACTGCTGCCCAGTGCCCACCAGCCATATCCTTCAGAGATGCCTGGTGAGACCAGGGCTCTTGGGCACCAGCCATGTCCTGTCCCTGCAGACACCTCCCAGGTGGGTTTTGCACTTGGATGGTGCTGAAGAGCTTTCCTTCCACCCCCTAACAAATCTGAGAGTGATGATAACTTTCCCTCGAGGAGCTTCCTATTTAAAAATATACTTATTTTTCTCTTTTAAATTATCTTCAGCTTCTTCCAGTGTTGCCTGCTCAGAGAAGGACCAGTGTCCCCACAGCCAACTCTGACCATAAGTCATGGCAAGACTGCTCAGGGCTGAAGCCCACAGCAACAGCTAAAAACATCACCAGCATTGCTTAAACCAAAAATAAATAAATAAAAAAAATATCCATTAGCCAAGCTAAAAAAGAATTCAGTAGTCCATTTAGAAAAATTAATGAAAGTCAAAGCATTACTTTAAATGCTTTATCATCTTCTGGTGGATAATCGGGGAAGCAGAATTCCCCTGATGCCATTCGAAGATGGAAGGAACAGCAGCAGTAACTATTTCCCACCCAGATTTGCCCATTCATGTTCACCCCAACCCTAAAGTTTTCGTAACACGGGTCTTTACTTTATCCCATCTCACAAAAAAGCATCCTCAAATGAGAATTTAGTCACCCACAAGGCCATAATTCAGAAGCATTTCAGCAGTTTTGACATCCTAGAGTCACTACTGCTTATGTTCCCACAAGTTAAGTGGATGGTTTCACTAAACTTCTAAATAATGTTCGTATATAAATTAGAGGCAGTCAGTGCAACACACAACTAAGGTTAATAAAAACTCAGCACCCAGCCTGTAATTTGACTTTTAAAGATGCTGCACTGAGAAAGTTTCATAATATGGAAGAATTAGTACCAAAATTCATCATTAAAACAAAGGTACTACGCAAAGTTTGCAAAATTTAAGCCTCTCACCTTTCAAAAGGAACAGCCTGATTATCTGCACAACAACTGCATTTTGATTTTCTTGTCCCACTTGCAGCTGCCATTAGCTAATTAAGAAGAAAGTGTAACAGCCAGAAGAAACCTACTATTTATAGGAATTTGAATATAACCAGCAATTATCAGCAGAGGCAGCTGAGCCCTTGTAGATGCTGATTGCAAACAGTCCTGCCTCTCCTCAGGTAAACCTGGCCCTTGTTTTGCCCAGGGGCTGACATGCAGTCCTTACACCTTGATATAACAACATCTGCACTTGAATTTAAAAGGTGTCTATCACCCTTCAACTGCACACAAAATAGTACACGTATTATAGACTTCATACCAAAAAATAGTGCTATCTTACCTCATGGAAGGGGGAGAGTATTGGCCCCTTTTCGGTGCTTTATTATTATGAAATATCATGCAATTAAAAAATACATCTATTAAACTGAAGATTTTATTCACTGGGAAATGATGACATTCATGGACAGAGCAGCAGGCACTGCAAAAAGCAGACTGCTGAGATTAATTTTTTTTTTTTTTTAAATAATGAGCTCTATTTCATTTTAAGTGATTGGCTTCTGTTACGAGGTCTTCAGGAACACAGCCAGTAAAAGGAGAATGAGAAGGAGAAAATTTCCTCAGGCCTTGTTTTTATCTAAATGCATGAGTAGCATAACTCGTCTGCAACAACAGTATCTGTGATAGCCTTGAGGAACTCAAGCACAGCTTCCTCATGCAGCCTACCTAGCACTGACTGCTGCTACCACACTGGCCAGGTGTTCATACCAATAGAATCCCAGACTGGTTTGGGCTGGAAGGGACTTTAAAGATTATTTAGTTCCAACCCCCCTGCATGGGCAGGGACATCTCCCACTAGACCAGGTTGCTCCAAGCCCCATCCAACCTGGCCTTGGACACTTCCAGGAATGGGGCAGCCACAGCTTCCCTGGGCAACCTGCTCCAGTGTCTCACCAGCCTCACCGGGAATGTCTAAATCTGCCCTTTTTGAATTAAAAACCATTCCCCCTTCTCCTATTGCTACATGCCTGTGTAAAAAGCCTCTCCCCAGCTTTCCTGGAGCCCCTTCAGGCACTGGAAGGTGCTCTAAGGTCTCCCTGGAGCCTTCTCCTCTCCAGGCTGAACAGTCCCAACTCTCTCAGCCTGTCTCCAAAGCAGAGCTGCTCCAGCCCTCTGATCATCTTCGTGGCCCACTTTGGACTTGCTCCAACAGTTCTATGTTCTTCCTGTTCTTAGGACCCCAGAACTGGACCCAGCACTGTAAAGGGTCTCACCAGAGTGGAGCAGAGGGGGAGAATCCCTTCCCTCAATCTGGTCAGGCTGCTGGTGATGCAGCACAGTAGATGGTTGTCTAAGCCTCAAGCCCCCTATTGCTGGCAAAAAGCTAATTTAAGCAAAAAACAACCCGACTGAAAAGGCCAGTGCCCCTCAGATGTGTCCATACCCAGCACATCCCACCAGCAGCTGTC